CCCTGTCTCTCAGTGGCCATCTCTCTGTATCTCTGTCTCTGTTTCTATTTCTGTCACTGTCTGTCTCTCTCTGCCTCTATCTCTCTGTCTCTGTCTATGTCTAGCTGTCTGTCTCTGTCTCTCTGTCTTTGTCTCTCTGTCTTTGTCTCTGTCTCTCTGTATCTCTATTTCAGTCTCTCTCTGTCTCTGTATCTAGCTCTGTCTCTGTATCTCTATCTTGGTCTCTGTCTCTGCCTCTGTAGCTCTGTAGCTCTCTCTTCATATCGGTATCTAGTTCCATCTCTCTGTTCTGTGTCTTTCTGTCTCTATCTCTCTGTATGTGTCTCTATCTAGCTGTCTTTTTGTCTCTGTCTCTCTATCTCAGTCTCTCTATGTCTCTGTATCACTATCTTTGTCTCTCTGTATTTGTCTATATCTAGCTGTATTTCTGTCTCTATCTCTGTCTCTCTTTCCTTATCTCTATCTCAGTCTCTGTCTCTGTCTCTGTATCTCAGTCTCTTTCTCTGTATCTCTATCACTGTCTCTGTCTCAGTCTCTGTATCTGTATCTCCTTCTTGGTCTCCCTCTGTCTCTGTATCTCTATCACTATCTCTCTCTCTGTCTCTGTATCACTATCTCAGTCTCGGTCTCTGTACCTCTGTCTTGGTCTATCTGTCTCCGCATCTCTATCTCTGTCTCTGTATTTCTATCTCTGTCTCTGTCTCTCTGTATTTGTCTATATCTAGCTATATCTCTGTCTCTATCTCTGTTTCTTTCTTTATCTCTATCACTATCTCAGTCTCTGTCTCTCTGTGTCTCTATATCTCTATCACTATCTCTCTCTGTCTCTCTTTCTGTATCTTTGTCTCTGTCTCTGTATCTCTATCTCTATCTCTCTGTCTCTGTATCACTCTCTCGGTCTCTGTCTCTGTATCTGTCTTAGTCTCTGTCTCTCTGTCTCTCTCTCTGTCTCTGTATCTCTCTCTGTCTCTGCCTCTCTTTCTATAACTCTGTCTCTCTCTGTCTCTGTATCTCTATCACTATCTCTGTCTCTGTTTGCCTCTCCCCTGGGCACAGCTCTTCCTTCTGCTGACTTGCTGGGCCCCGTTTCTTCCTGAGAAGGCAGGAGGTGGGGTAGCCTACAGGGTGTGCGGCTCCCTCCTCTCCGCTCCTCAGCCTGCTGTGCCCCGTCGCCTGCCTGAGGATGGCGGCCATCTGTAGGTTAATGGGCTGTGGGCCACCAGCTGTCACTGGGGAGGCCAGCAGTGCCCCCCCCCCAAGGAGGAAGCAGCTGCAGACTTCTCTGCCGACTCTCTGGGCCCTGCAGTCAGACCTGACTGCTGCAAGGAGTCAGAGCTCAGGGTGGGGACAGGGCATAGAACCTGGGGCTCAGTACCTGGAGGTCAGCAACATCCCCTGAAGGTGGCTGCTGGACTTGCTCTGCTGGGGTTTGGGGAATCATTTCACCAGCATCAGTGGAGTCTCGATTCCCACAGGGTCTCAGCTCACAGGGACAAGGATCCTGAGTCCCGTCTCCTCAGGGACACCAAGGGCACCCCAGTGGTCATTGCCTCAGGGTCCCCTCTATAAAACGGCTGTGCTGAGCACCAGCCCCATCACGCATCACACGGTCAGCCCTGGGGACACAGTGCTGATTGGCTGCGAGGGGCTGTGGGGTTGAGGGCGCCCGTCACCAGACAGTCCCCAGGGTCCCTTGCCAAGCAGGCAGGCCTTGCTCCTCTGCACTATGTGCCAATGGTCCACCCAGTTGCTGTGACCAGGGCATCAGGAGAGGGGCCAGCAGGCATCGCCGTGGCTGATGGTGGTGGCTGTGGACAGCTGAGGACCTCCAGCTCTCCCTTGGTCGCTGGCTGCTCCCCGAGTGGCTCCAGTGGGCAGCCTTCCTGTGCACGGTGACCCGGGACAGGAGAGGCAGCCAGCCCATTGCCAGGACAGCCCCAGGGGTCGCCTGTTACCCAGCAGAGCCCACCCTGACCCACAGGCTGGGGTGTCGCCTGAGTTGCCCGAAGCCCAGGCAGACTGTGGCCTCTCATAGTGGCAGAGATGAGAACCAGCGCAGTGACCCCAGTTCTGTCCGAGGTCCAGGGAAAGAGGCAGGACGGCTCAGACGGCCCTCTGAGCAGAGCCTGTRAGACAGCCGAGGCTCGGCCGGGGCCCCACTCCCTGGCAGGCTGGGTATTCCCTGCGGTGGCCACGCCTGGCAAAGTGTTGCACCTGGGTGTCGGGGACTGGCCCTGTGGCTCCCTGGGGGCATTGGGCCTCCCCAGGTGGTATCCCTATCGGGCTCTTGACACTCTGAACACAAGGTCTCGGGGCTCTAAAGGGACTGGCCATCCCAAGAAGTCCAGGACTGCCAGGGCTCACCATGGAGGGCAGTGCAGGAGGAAGGCCCTGTGGGCACCATAACCAAGCAGGGCTGGTGGCTCCCTGCTGAGCCACCTTGTCCCTGTCACTGTACTGGGTCCAGGGGCTCTGCTCTGGTTTGAGTCGCGGCAGAGGCCCCTCCTGCAGAGCATCAAGCCAGCCCCCTCCCAGGCACTTGTGTCCAGTGAATGTTAGCCAAATGGGGGTGCCCGCGTAGGACACACCATCTCCTGCTAGGTCTTAGAAGGCAGGACGATGTGTCCACACGAGCAGAGTAATGCTTTCCCCCGCAAAACACTTCAGCTTCGCTTTCAATAAACATATAATGAAAAGTACTTGATTTTTGTCTCAAGCAGCAGTGGCTAATAAATTCAATTCTGGAGCCAAATTGTCTGGGCTTAAATCCCAGATCCAGGCTTTGCCATAGACATGACCTTGAGGAAGGATTTATTCCCTTGCTGCCTCAGTTTCCTCTTATGGGAAATCAGGTAAAGCAAGTCTGTGCCTCTGTGTGGTGGCTGTGAGTCAGGGACGTGCAGAGCCAGCGCGGGCCAACGCTGGTGCTCTGTGTGGTGACGCCAAAAGCTGGTCCTTGCAAAATACGTCCTACAWCCGGGCACTGCATGAACAGAAGAGAATGGCATTTCTGAAGGAGGGACTGGGAATAGTGGAGCAGGCCAGTTTCCCTCAGACTCGCTGTATCTGGAGAATCTCCTGGAGGGAGGATTAAAACGGTGTCCCCAGGCTCCATCTGGGAACACGCCACCACGGTGAGCACCCTGCAGCACACTGGCCAAGGTCCCAGTGGCTGGGTCCTTCCTGCTAGTGTCCTCTGAATTTTTTTTGAGACAAATGTCTCAAGAAGAAAGAGAGGTTTAGTCGGGAAAGAAGGTCTCAGCTCCCGTCAGCAACTGGCAAGAGGCAGGAAGTCTCCTAGTGGATGGGAGGTGCTTTCTGCAGTGACATGCACGTTTGGAGTAGAGAGCACAGGACAAGGTGCCAGGACCCCCAGAGTCCCACCCAACACACACACATGCACACACAGGCACACAAGAACATGCACACCCAAACACACGTGTGCAGACATGTACCCATGAACACACAGAGACATGCACACACTGGAGCACATGAACAGATGTATGCACACTGAATACACACATATGCACATCTGTGCTCACACATGTGGACAGGCACACGCACAAACACATGCAGACACATGCACATGTGTGCACTCACACACATACCTGGGCTCGTGGCCACCCAGAGACACACACACATTGACGCAGATGAACACATGTGCACAGGCACATAGGCACATGCACACACAATACATGAGACACATGCAAGCACATACACTCACACTCATGCACACAGACATATGCACACTTACACATATACATGTATATCATCCAGATGCATGCACAGAAACACATGTGTACCGACGTGTGTGCACACACACACTCATACAGACATGCACACACACACACCAAGACAAGAGCCGTGAAACCCCAGGGCCTGGTCCTCCTTGTCTCTCTACTTCAAGGGCCCAGCACAAAGTAAGGTCCTAATAAATGCTCTCTCATTTGTTCATTCAGCAAGTATTTACTGAGCACCAATATGTGTCAAAAGTCATTTCAGGCACTGGGGACACAGCGAGAGCCCAGCAGACAGAGCTCATGTCTTGTGAACCAAGTTCACCACCCTGGTTGCTGGTTCAGGCCCCTGGGGCTTCTCAGCTCTGGACTCTGTGTGCATGTCCACGGGAGCATACCTGTGCTGATGCCCTCCCCTCTCCAGACCCCAGCTGCACATCTACAAGATTCTGGTGAGGGGCTAGAGTACAGATGGGGCAGCTGGGATTTGGGGGTGGTGCATCTATTCTGGGCTCCGAGGAGCATGACCTGGGGACTGGGTCTGTGTTCACTTTTCCTCTCCTGGTGGGTTTCCGCTGGCCTGGTGGGTCAGCCTCCACCTGTCCTTTCCCACCCCACAGCCCCAGAGAGTGGGGCGGAGAGTGGATCCCGTAGGACCTGGAGGCTAGGACCGCTCCTCCCCTGCACCATCTGCCCCGGCTCCGGAGCTCAGGGGTCCACGCGAGTGGCCAGTCTGGTCCAGCACCCGCACGGGCCTGGCTGCGGGGAGTCGAGTTTGGGGCTCATCCCCGGCGCTGGCGCTGGAGCCTTGGGAAGGGCGCGGGGAGGGCGGGGCTCCGCGGCCGCGCGGGCACCCGTGGCCTCGCTCCCCGGCTGCCGGGCCGGGGCCGCGCACCGGCGGCGGCGGGCGGGCGGTCCCGCGGGCGGCGGGCGGGGCGGCGGGCGCCGCGTGCATGCTGATGAGCGCGAGGCCGCGTCACTGCGCACCGGCGCCGTGGCTGCGGGGCGGGAGGARCGGGCGCAGGAGCGCGGGCAGGAGCGCGGGAGGAGCGGCCCCGCCGCCGAGCCCCGCGCGCCTCCGGGCCAGGCCGCTCGGCGCCGGGCGGGCGCCCTGCGGAGGATGCCGGCGGCGCCGCGCGCGCGCAGCCCCGGGCAGCCCCTGCGCGCCGGACGGCGGTGCTGAAGGGACAGCGCCCGCCCGCCGGCCCAGGGTCCCCGCAGCGGCCGGCCGCGCCCAGGCTGCCGCCGCCCAGGCCCCTGGGGATGCCCCGCGGCGAGGCGGCCCCGCCCGAGCCGTACTCATGGCGGTGGCCAGGAAGATCAAAACTTTGCTGACGGTCAACATCCTGGTGTTCGTGGGCATCGTCCTCTTCTCCGTGTACTGCCGCCTGCAGGACCGCTCTGCCGCGCTGGTGCAGGTCGTGCGCGGCGCCGACCGCCGGGTGCGCAGCCGGCACGCCAAGGTGGGCGCGCTGGCCGACCGCGAAGCCATCCTGCAGCGCCTGGACCACCTGGAGGAGGTGGTCTACAACCAGCTCAATGGTGAGCGGCCGGAGCAGGGTCCGGTGGGGGCGCGCCGCTGGGCCAAGGGGCCAGGACCCACGCCCACCCCGGCTGTAGGCCGCAGGGCTGGAACCAGCCCCTCTGTGTGTCCATGGGAGCGAATGGCGGGGAGGCAGACAGAGGTGAGGGCTCTTTGAGTCCTCCCTTTGGCAGAGGCTGGCCTGGATGATCACTCAGTTATTCATTCCTCCAGTGAACATTTGGGAAGGACCCCAGCCTCCCACCCGGTGACTTCAAACTTACTCCCCAGGAGAACTTGAGGGAACTTCAGGAGAGGTTCTTAGGATCTACCTGGCAGCAGGCAGCACCAGGGTCCAGGGGTGAGGGCAGGCTGCCAGCCCCCAGGGCTTAGGTCAGGCTTATTCCCATCCTTCTGCAGAGGTGGAGGGAGGGGCAGGTGCTGCCCTCTAAATGGCTGATGTCCTGTCCTTGCCGCTGGGACTCACAGGGGACCCACTGAGGCTGTGACCCCTGACCCAGACAGAATCCCATATGGGCTGCTCAGGGTTTGTGCCACGAAGTTCTGTGGTGGGGAAATGCTGAGGCCTGGCTGCTGTGTGGAAAGATGAAGTCCAGGGTCCAGCAGGGCTGGGCAGGAGCTAATTGTTCACATGGATGGAGGCTGTGCACCTGGGAGTCYCCAAAGCCTTGAAAGTGTCCTTTGCTCCATGGGACCCTGGGAAGGTCAGCATTGGTGTCAGGGTAGGTCAAGGCCACTGGCCACAGTAGTGAAATGAATACTTTTCCACTTTGGGATGGCCAGGATGAAGGAAGGAGAATGTTTGGGTGTGCCCACTTTACCAGGGGCTTCTCCCTTCTGGTTCATTAGGCTGTTTTGTTTTCCGAATTGATAGCCCCAGCAAACCTCTTCCAGGAAGTGCCAGGGACAGGGTCACAAAGAAGGTGGCTGGGGGCTGGGATCTGTGTGCTGCCCTGTGCCACATGTGTGGGGGGTGGAGATTGGGGTCTTCTGACAGGTTCCTTTGGGGGCCCATTCTGTGGGAGCCTGGGTTGCAGGTGGGCCTCTGAGCCACAGCCTGAAGGGGCTGCCTAGTGTGTCCCCAGGCTGAGGACCATCTGGCCTGCTGGTGGCTCACTCTTGGAGAGCTAAGCACGCCCAGACCCCTCAGTGCGTTCTGGTCACCWTGGAACACCTGGCTCCCCGGGGATGGCTGGCCAGCTCCCTGGCTTTTCTGGTCTTTGCTTTTCTCCTGTAGCCACGAGAGGAGAAGTTCAGCCGGAGCGGCCACCTGGCCATTACGGCAGTGATTCATCTCCTGGAAGGTGGCGTGCCCCGGTAATAGCACAGAGCTTTATTGAAGTGTATTTGCCAGGGTGTTATGGTCTGTTTTATGGGGAGAACCGGAGGATTATATAAAAACATTGGCAGCTCTCGTTGGGGTTGTGTAACATCGCAACGGCCGGCAGCCCTGGGAACTGCTCTCCTTGCCTCGCCCGCTGAGAGCAGAAGCCAGGAGCCTTGGCAGAGAAAGCCTGGACCCTCTACCAACTTTTCTGACATCAGTGGGGAGAGAATGACGTGACTGGGGACGTGGCGTGCCACCTTCCCTCCCCAGCCTCTCCGCCCGCTCTCCCACCCGCCCCCCGCATCTCCCCCTCTTCCTTTCTTTTTAAATGTTCTCTCCTCTCCTCTCCTCTCCTCTCCTCTCCTCTCCTCTCCTCTCCTCTCCTCTCCTCTCCTCTCCTCTCCTCTCCTCTCCTCTCCTCTCCTCTCCTCCTCCCTCCCTCTCTCTCTCTCTCTCTCTCTCTCCCCTCCACTCCAATCCTTTCCTCCTCCCACCATCCCTCTTTCCTCTCCCAGCCTCTTTCTGGTCCCCTCTCTCTCCCTCTCTCTGGGGCCACATTATGTCCCTCTCTCTGACCTGTGTGCCCAGTAGTGTCTAAACCCAGGAGCTATTCAATACTTGCTCCAGGAAATGACAAGAGACAGCRGAATCTGTCACTGCTCCTGGGCAGGTCCCCAGGAGGGCACAGTCCAGTGGCAGGGAGGCCCTCTGAGGCCTCCCGATGCATTCTTGCCCCCTCCTGGATCGCAGGAGTTGAGGAAATCCATGAGTGTATCCAGGAGGGTGCAGCCCGGTCTCTCCACCACCGGTTCTATTTCAGGTCCCGGAAATCTGAGATTGATTCCTGGGAGTTTCTGCCAGATGCTAATCCGGCCGAGTTCAGGAGGGAGAAGGAGAAATACAAAGCAAGATTGATCTGTCACTTACATTTCCTCAGCCTCAGCGGCTCCCTGGAGATTTCTCCTGGCTTCAGGGAATCTGTGAGAAAGGAGGTACTGGGGGACGAGGCCCAGTTTCCTTAGAGCCAGGGGGAGCCAGCAGCTTTGGTGGGGGAGCAGGCCGGAGTGGGCCGTTCTATGGCTGGCCCAGCCATCTGCACATGGACACCTCACTGAGCTTTGCAGCCCCTGTGTGGGGTGTAGGTTGAAATCTCAGGCCTGGAGAGAGATTCTGTCAGGAAAGGCATCCCCCAGAYGGCAGGAGTGTTTGCTTCTGAATTTGGTGCTCAAGTCAAGAAGAAATGTTTACAGATGAAAACCACCCTTATGCAAACCCTAATCACACCTAAAGCACAGAACCCTGTTCCTGTGCCTGCAGTGGCTCAGTGAGCCTATAAACGCCAAGCTCAGGAGCCTCTGCAGCCAGGGAACAGAGGGAAAGGCGCCACCCTCTGATGTCCTGTCAGCCCCTGCTCTTGGCATCTGACCTGTGGCTGGCCAATGCGGCAGGGAGAGAGAGTGGGCAAGCTGCTAGTAGGGTCTCTCCTGGGGCGCCGAACATACCCAGGGGCCTCACTGCACCTAGGAGTCCCACTTGCCACCTCCTGCCGGGGGCCCTGAAGAGGAGAGACAGTATTAGGGACATGCTGAGGACGGGAAGTGGTGGCTTGATCCTGGTTGTTGGCTTTCCAGGGTGGTTTCTAAAGTCGCCCACTCAGCCCGGTGCACAGTGCGCGAGTTACAGTCAGAGGAGGTCAAGGCCGGGTCTCACGATAGAAGAGGCACAAGGCAGGCTGCTTGCCCAAGGTCATTCTCAGACTAGGTGGTGACAGCTGCTGAAAGAGGCACCTGCTTCAGAAGGACCTCCCTTTATGCAGTTATTAACTGATATCGCAGACCACCAGGCCAGAGAGGCCCTGGGGCGTGTGACCTCTGCCTGCCCGGAAAGTGGATACCACTGCCCTGCATCCTTCAGGAAGCAGGTCCGGCCCTCCTGGTCTCTGGGAGCTTGCCTGCCTGTCCTCGTCCTCTCAGGGCAGGGGCTTCTAACACCAAGGTGGGGGTGCCCATGCACAGGGGCTCCCGGATACCTGCGAGTGCCTGCTCGCTTCTGAAATGATTCATTGCTTTGACTTCAATAAATATATTTCAAGAGGCAACCGTGAATCACAGCCACCCCGTGAGTTGCAGGGTCTATGCTCCTGGAAGCTGCTGCCTCCAGAGGCTGCTTGTTAGGGGGGTGTGGGTGGGGCCACCTGTGCACGGCCACCAGATCAGGAGGGTGAGTTGACTCCAAAGGCAGAGACTCTGGCAGGGCCACTAGGGCTACTTAACACCATGCCCGTCTCCTGCTGAGAATGGGGTCCTGCAGACTGATTGGGTCAGCATGTGGCCCCTGGTTTGGGAAGCCCTGGCCAGGGAGCAAGGCTGTGGGTGTGTAGGCAGGGGAGAGTCCAGTGGCTGTTGGTGCTGAAGGGGCCTCCCTAGGGCACCCTTGGGTCCCAGAGCGTGGGGTACCACATTCCCAGCACCAGGAGTTGTTCACAGGGAGCCAGAGAAGCCAGGTGAGGGAAGGGGATGCCCATCACTAGCAGGTGTGCCAGGCCCTCTGGCTGCAGGGGGCAAAGCCTGGACAGTGTCAGCCACAGGAACATGGCATGGCTGAGGGGCCTGCTCTGGAGCCTGGGAAGATGCCCAGCCTGCCTCTCATCCTGCTCAGGTGGCACCTGGCACAAGGGGATGCCCGTCCCTGTTGTGTTGGATTGAGACACAGTAGGCAGGACTGGGGCTCTGCCCGTCTCCCTCTGGCCTATCCAGCTCACACCCCCCTCAGGAGCCTCCGGGTGCAGGTGGTGAGGCAGCTTCCCCTCGGCCCCCAGGGGATCAAGGCCGGCAGAGAGCGCTTCCTAAACAGGCGGGTTTGACTCCAGAGCTGCTCCCTGCAGGTCAGCCATGGGCCCTGCCCTCAGCCTTCGGCCTCCTGGACTCCTCCCCAGGAGCTACAATGTTTCCATGTGGCCAGGCCAGGCAGCGGAGTCGTGGTGGCCGGGGAGAAGGCCATGGTGTACTGGACGCTTTCTCTAATTGCGGGTCTGGGAGGGTCTGGCCCCCACATGCTGCTGTGCCTGACTCCAGGGTCATGGCCCCCCACGCCTTGCCCACTGCTGCCTGAATACCAGGAAACAAAGCCCTGCACGGCCAGTCCCCGAGGCAGGCCCCAAGCACTCACTGTCCCCGCTGCTATGCCCGTGCCTGGAGCAGCCGGTCCCCCGTCAAGGTCGGGGCATTGAGGTTTTGCCTCTTCTTCCTGTCTGGGCTGCTGGCCACCTCCTCACCAGCGATCCTGACAAGAGTGACCACAGGCGTGTGGGCACCGCCAAGCCTGGACTGAACTGGGAGTTATGGTCGATGGACACCGCCCCTGACCTGAGCCAGGAGAGGGCTGGGGCTAAGGGGAGGCCTCTGTGCTCAGCTCAGCCACTGTGTAGGTCCAGGCCCAGGACTGTGTGGGAAGGATCGTCCAGCCTGCCCTGGCCCGAGACCAAGTGATGCCTGGAGCTGCTGGGAGCCGGGAGCAGGGAGCAGGCAGATCCTCCCCCGAGCCTTCATGGGACCATGCCTGTCCACCCAGGATTTCAGCTCAGACTGTGGGAGAAGCCTGTGGTGTGAGGCCCCTGTGTGGCGCTCTGTGGCAGTAACCATGACCCTCACACAGGGGCATTGGTGCCGGCCT